GTTACGCACATTATTGTAATTTTCAATTTATGAAATGTATGCATGTGTGAATGGCTGCCCAAAGATAAGCATGAATATTTTGCTCAAACTGAAACATTTTGAACTCACGTGGATGTGTCATCACGCGATTTGTACATCAGCTCTTGTTTTTCCATTGACTACCTGCATCTGACAAGATTTAACGTGCCATTTGTTGTCATTTGTTCTTATAGACAGCAGAGTGTGGAGCCGTTAGGTTCAGAGTGTAAGGAGGATTCAGTCTGTTTCACTGGCGGACACCAAACAGATACTAAGGAAGACGCATGTAAGTTTACCTGTGTACGTAAATATTTGTAGTGCTGCTTATATTGTTAATGCTACTAGTAATACATTAATAATTCCTCATAGCTCAAAGAAAAAATTGGTGCTTATTTTTTGAAATACTAAATACTGCAAGTAATTTGCAGACAAAGGAAAATAAATGTATTATTAATTGTAGTTCCACATATGTTCCACATTGGGCACACTCAGAGGCCTTTGACACGAAAGAGTAGCTCAATAAAAATAAGCCAGAAGAACCAATAATATAGATTAACCTTTGGCACGCCATTTCTTTGTCACAATGGCAATGGCAGACTTTTGAAAGTGGAGGGTTTTGAGTTTGTGGATCAGTTTATCAGAGTTGGACATGGTCTCAAGAAGTAACTTCAGAGAGACTTATTGGATTTTTAAACCTGATGCTTCTGTGTAACCGTGTATGTTCTGGGTATTACTGAAACTCCTTTGATTCAAAGGAAGTCATTGATACATGAGTTAGAGCTTTGCCAACTGAGATATGTAGATCTTTGATACAAAAATTTGCCATTTAGAAATCTGAATAAAAATGTCCACATTCAGTTGTTGCAGGAGGCAGCCATCTTTTGAAAGCAAAGAAGAATCTTAAGGAAGCAATGCAAAAGCAGTTCACAGTGACGAGCGAAGGTCACAGTGACCAACAGACTTCTCTGAAATGCATCTACACAACACTCCACATTATCACTGGAGAGACTGGAAATCCACATGCAGAGCACGAGTTGAGGCACCATAAGCATAAACTGAAACGACAATCTTCTGAACATTCAATCAATGTCAGTGACATCTTTAAACGTATGCCTGGCCAAGAGAAACCCAACAGAACAGTCTTGACAAAGGGCGTTGCAGGAATCGGAAAATCATTTTCCGTGCAGAAATTCATTCTTGACTGGGCCGAGGGGAGAGAAAATGAGGACATTGATTTTGTTTTCAATCTTGCTTTTCGAGAGCTGAATTTGAGTACAGATAACAAAAGCTTACATGAGCTCCTGACTGAATTTCACCCTGCGATCCACCATCTGACAAATTCAGAAGATTTAATCAAAGCCAAGGTTGTAGTGATCCTGGATGGCCTGGATGAAAGCAGACTTCAACTGGATTTCAAGAACAAGCCACTAACATCAGTCAGTGAAGTGACATCTATGGGGAATCTTCTAGCAAACCTCATCCAGGGTAACCTTCTTCCTAATGCTAACGTGTGGATAACATCCCGTCCAGCAGCAGCCAGTCAGATCCCTGCAGACTTTATCGACATGGTGACGGAGATAAGAGGGTTCAGTGACCCACAAACAGAAGAATTCTTCAGAAGGAGATTTAGAAATGACCCAGGCCTCGCTGACAGGATCATTTCACACATTCGCTCTTCACAGAGTCTCGACATCATGTGCCAGATCCCGATCTTCTGCTGGATTTCTGCCGTGTTATTTCAGGAGATCTTTGGAGGAGATGACAAAGCTGAAACTCCTCAAACTCTAACAGAGATGATGGCCCATTTCCTGTTTGCCCAGACAATACGCAGAAGCAGAAAATATGACCAGAAGACAGAGGAAAACAAAGAGAGCCTTCTGAAGACACACAGAGAATTTCTCCTCAAACTCGGCAAGCTTGCGTTTGTTCACCTGCAGAGGAACAGTCTCATCTTCTATGCTGAAGATCTGGAAGACTGTGGCATCGACGTAAAAGAGGCAACCATCTGCTCTGGATTTTGCAACACAATTTTTAGAGAGGAACAAGTCTTTTCCCAGAAAAAGGTCTTCTTCTTTGTGCACCTGACCATACAGGAGTTCTTTGCAGCTCTGTTTGTCTATGACTGTTTCACAAAAAACAAAAAAGAAGTGCTAGACAAATTCCTCGATCTGAAGGACAAAGAACATACTTTACTTGATCTTGTAAAGATGACAGTTGACAAAGTGTTGGAAAAGAAAAACAGCCACCTGGACTTCTTCTTGCAATTCCTTCTTGGCCTCATGGTACAACCAAACCGCAGAGTCCTGCAGGGTCTGCTGACATCACCAGATCCAAGCCAAGGTACTGACAAGAAAATCTTGACTTACCTCAAAGCCATCCGAAGGAAGGCCCTCTCTCCAGACAGCTGTATGAACCTCTTCCAGACCATGGTTGAGATGAGAGATCATAAAGTTAAAGATGAGATTCAGGAATATCTCAAATCATCAGATCGTTCAAAAACAGAACTGACTCCACTGCACTGCTCTGCATTGGCCTACATGTTACTGGTATCAAAGAATGATCTGGATGTGTTGGACTTGAAGAGTTACAACACATCAGACGAAGGCAGAAGGAGGCTGATACCAGCTGTGAGGATCAGCAGCAAGGCCATGTAAGTAAACTGTCCCTGTTATATCTAATATATTTTGTTAGAAAATCAAACTTGAATCAAACAGTAAGATGGCCTGGTAAATTCAGAATATACATGTCATCTGCCAATTATTGTAAATAAATGGCAAAGGCCAGGGTTTCAAGTACTGCTTTGTAGCAAGGCTTGGCAGTTAAAGCCCTGCTTTCTTTCTCGGCCCTGCACATCTGGCCAATCACTGCATAAAACTGGCATGAATGTCAGATTGTCAGTTTAAAGTTTCAAGTTACCAAGTTACAGACGCAGACCCACCAATCCATGTCAGAACGGTTCGAGATGCTGTTTGACAATCTTATGAGCTCTTTGTTTGAAGCACACTGACACCTTAAGAAATACGAAGTGTGATCCTTGAATAAACATGTATGGGCTCTAACCAAGGCCAAACTGTTCTGGGGACTCTCTGAGAGAACCTGCCCATTAGGGAGCTCCCCCTGGGAACTACATACCTACAAGGGCTTTTTCTGTTTGCATTTGCACCGCCAATAAGAATGCGGACTTAACATGCTGTAAGCTGGCCAGCAGTTGGTACAGCACTGTTACTTTCACTATAACAAGTCAAAATTGCGTTTTAAATCTACTGTTGCATACATGCTTAGTAAAGTGTGGACTTCAGTGTAGGTCAATTTGTCCGTGTTTTCTTCCTTTTTTTTTTGTTATGAGCTGTTTGTTTTTTACGTTTTCTTTTGTTTACACAGTCAACAGCTTTTTAAAAATGGCAGTTGCCGGTGGTGCATTGGCTGATATGTTCGACCAATCAACGTATGCTTTTGTCTGGACCAGTCAAAGTACACTTTGTTCACTCATGGTTCCTTTTGTGCTGGGCGATTACTTCCTTAGAAATAGAAGCTAAAAACTACCTCAAACCAGCATTCTAAAAATTATGATAGTAACTTGTTCTTGCAAAGCAAACACAACAAAAAGGGAGGTTCTTAAAACTTGGCTGTTAGAACTGTGAAAAAAATCCTAAAGTCCAAAAATGCCTATTGTTTCCTTCTATGTCGTAATAGTTTTAAATATCTGTATGTATAGTTTTGTTTATGTTTGTATGCAAAAAAAGCTTCTTTTGTGTTGCATTCACAGACTGTATGTAAAGATGGACAACGTGTCCCCTCCCACCCCAACTAAGCATTAGTGAATCCAAAATATCCTGGATTCTGAGCAATCATTCCAGAGCCAGAGTCTACACAGTAGGGATCGCCCAAACACCCGTCCGACCAATTGCGAGCAGCGCCATTAAATGCAAGTACACCAGTTGGCAACATGGTGTGAAATCCCTGTTTTATCGCATTAAATAATTGCTTGAAACCAAACTTTTCAGAGAAACGAACACTAAAACTAACATCAGAGTGATAAGAACTCCCCTAAATGACAGAAACTATATTTGGGAAAAATGTATTCGATGTGTACTGTGAGTTTTTAGTTTGGCTCATGTCCCATTCACGAACATGGAGGGGGCGGGCTTTATGATCTGTACTGCAGCCAGCCACCAGAGGGCAATCGAGATGTTTTAGCTTCACTTATAATGGGCTGTCATGTCGTCCATCTTTATATACTGTCTATTGTAGCATTATAACTTTAAAATCTACCCATAGACTAGCAGACTGCAAAGTGACTCCAGAGTTGGTTGAGCACTTGGCCTTTGCTCTCAAGCACCCCAACTCAGCTCTGAGAGACCTGGACCTCAGCAACAATGACCTGAAAGACTCAGGAGTGGCGCTTCTTTGTGAAGGCCTGTCGAGTCAATGCTGCAGATTGGAGACACTGAGGTACTGACACTGGTATAAAGCACAGTAACAAACAATGGTAATGGGTAAATAAAGTTATAGACTTACCTCAACCAGCTGCAAGCAAACAACATTTGTGTTAGCTATGTGTTGCTGTGTAGTGATCACCATCTAAAATTCTCTAGAATTCTTTATTCTAGTTGTAACTATGCATGTCATTGTATGCAAATTGAAAAGCACCTTCCTTCTACCTTGTATTGTTTTTAGCCACAGTAGTGGGTAGCTTTAGAGGTGCAAGGTTGGTTGGATAGTCTGAACTTTCGGATTAATTGCCATGAAATTTTACATCAACATTCATGGCCCCCAGATGATTAATCTTAATTACTTTGATGATCCCCAGACATTTTATCAACTGCCACTGTAAGGTCAAAATTTCATTACAGAGGGGTGACCAAAATGGGGACAGTACAGAACGGTTCCATTGGTACCATCCACAACTTTTACAGCGGAAACAGAAAAAAAGTGTACAGAACTGAATTGTACGGCACTGCTCAGTGGAAACAGGGCTTCAATGTCTCGAAACCTTTAAGTAAATATCAGTTACTTTTTGCTTACTCAAGCCATCTCAGCAAAATCAGTTCCATAGTGAGTAATCCCATTTCAGGGCCTCTCACCATTTTAAGCCTATCCTCTTTCAAGTCATTCAGAAATCTGTACAAATCTACACGCCACTCACTGCTGATGACCAAACACTGTGTTTTCTCAGGTTGTCAGGTTGTCAGGTCACGGAGGAAGGCTGTGCTTTTCTTGCCTCGGCTCTACAGTGCAACACCTCTCATCTAATAAAGCTGGACCTGAGCTACAACCATCCGGGAGACTCAGGAGAGAAGCTGCTCTTTGAGCTGAAGAACGATCAACAATCTAAGCTCAGCATACTCAAGTAATTACGGGACACAACATTATTTGTTTTTCCTGATGACGTGTTTGAGAAGTGTTGGATTACTGTTACAAATCCAGTATGCTGAGGTGTAAGTGAAGGGCCAACCCTAACTTAATATCCTTTACGATAAATTCAAGCTGCTGCTTACATTTGGCATCATATTACACTCTTCCCACTCATCTTAAATTGTGGGTACCTTCTTAACCAGTCTCTGAACCCATCACCCAGTGGTCTGATAACAATAAGCCTCTGAGGGCAATGACCAATATTTCGGGAGATCCAGTGCAGCAAGCAGAAATCTGGGCTGGAGCGCCAGTAATATCAGTTAATCTCTTAACAAATAGCCTATGTGCATGCAGATGAATTTAACCTCTCTAACTCTGCCAGGACGCCGACGTCCTCGCACCCCCCCTCCTCTGTTAAATGGTATCTCCCAGGCGCACTACGTCATCAAACCATGTGATGTTTGGTATTGCTGGATTCAGGAAGAATCAAAAATAACATCGTTTTTCACCAGAGCAGCATAAACACACAAAGTCCAAAATCGTGATGAGTGGTGACAAGTCATGTCAGGCCGTTTTTCGATGGGAGAAGTTAAAGGATCACTCGCGATCATATGCGGAGCTGTTAGCGGGCACGTAGCTCCTTTATAAAAGGTAAGAGTCTCACTCCTACCACTATTTTTGGCTGAGATATACCGTCTAGAAAGTGGGATCATAACTTTCACATTTCATATTTGGTGATACTTTATGGTGTTTCTGTGTCATAAACAACATCAGCTATCATAATCACACCTGATTTCAATAAGGTACAATGTCTGAAGCTGGCTGAGTGTTGTTTGATCACTGACAGTACTGTTTTGAAGCAGAGTGACTGACGTCATTTGGAGCTCCGCCTGGATCTTTTCATGGAAAAAACACTATAGAATGGTCATACTTTGAGCAAACTTCTTCAAATTTGAAACAAATGTTCATTGATAGTGTGTCTACAGCCCCACAGTGTCATTTACCTGCTCAGATGAAGCCACAGACAGTTATTCATCCTGAAACACAATTTTTATTTTATTTTAGGCAAAATCTTCATTTTTTACTGACTTCAGAGGCCCATTACTCTGTCTCTGTATCACCTAGAGTGTTTCTGACACTTTCACAAGAAACTTAAGGGAGTTTTCTTTCTGGCAAGACCTCATGCATGCATGTAGTCAGAGCGGTTCAGAAGCTTCATTCATTTTAATTTGGGTATGTCATTTTAGGCCTTTTTGCTACAAAATGGGTTAATAACAAAAAGGTAATACAAAGCTAAATTGTCACCAGATGATAGCTGATGAATTCCTAAATTGCATTTGATTGGTCAACACTACTCGAACTAGAAACGGAAACCACAACATTCCCAATACCAAAATCTTGTCCTGTAACCTCCAGATTCTGTATACATACGCAGATATCTTAGTAGAGATTTCTCATTATCTGACTAAATTCTAATATTCTAAAAAAAAAAAAAGTTCTTACACTCAAATATTTTTCTCTACAGCACTGAACATGGTGGAAGTCAAAGGTTGAAACCAGGCTTTAAGAAATGTAAGTATCTGTACATTTGTTGGTAGGAATGATGCACAGATCCAGGGAAGTATTCAGAAATGGTTTGAATACTCTCTAAATAAAGTGTTGTCTTACCACCAGATGCCTGTGAGCTCACGTTGGACGCTAACACAGCCCATAAGAACCTGCTTCTCTCTGAAGGGAACAGAAAGGTGACCTGGGTGGAAGACGAGCAGCCATATCCACCTCACCAAGCAAGGTTCCAGCAGGTGCTGTGTGAACAGGGTCTAGATGGGCGCTGCTACTGGGAGGTCGAGGTTTTTGGACCCTTAAGCGTTGGAGTCACATACAGAGGAGCTGACAAGAAAAGGAGGATGGACGTGTTCAAGATGGGATACAGTGACAAGTCTTGGTGTCTGGTTTGCTCTAATGATGGCAATTACGTTTCGCACAGCAACAAGAAAGTCGATGTGTCCCCACTGGGATGGCGGTCCAGTCGGGTGGGGGTGTATCTGGATTGTCCGGCTGGCACTCTGTCCTTTTACAGAGTTTCCTCTGACAGTCGGACTCGCCTCCATACCTACAAAACAAAGTTCAATGAGCCCCTGTATCCGGCTGTTGAACTTGAACACATTCAGTCTTCTGCATTATTCTGTCAGCTTATATAACCAACCTTTCAGTGCGTTCACTCCAGCACCAACCCCTGGCCTCCAGTTTAGGTTATTTCCCAATAAAACTCTAAACATGTAATTGTAGTGTAACAATGCCCTACTGTCTTATAGACCAATTTCGAGTGGATGTCACAGTTACGTCACAGTAGTTGCATGCGCACACTGGTGGCAGAAAAACAATGGACATTGGAGATAAACTGTTGAGATACCCGGAATAAAAATGTCTTCTTGTGCCGGGAATACAGAATAAGACATACTTCATTTTTATAGAAAACTCTCGCAGAGGACGCAGTAGTAGAAAATAAAGTTTTGTCTCCAGTTAATTATAATCTCGATATTCAGGATATAGTCGCTGCTGGACACTCGGTTGAGGAGTGTGTGTTTGTCTTACATGAAGAGCATTATTGACGTGGTGAAAGATAATTTATCATCATAAGGAACTGTAAAAACTCACATTTGTTAAGCATGGATTTGTCTTATTGTCCTTGGTTAAAACTCGTGGAGACTTTCCCATATAATATAATTTAACATGGAAGTAACAAACACCTTTTTAACTAGCTAGCTAAAGCCTTCTGTTTATTAACTCCTTGTTTATAATAGAACAGACTAACTTTCACCACTGATCATTTTAGAAATGACACCACAAGAAAACATGTTATTTTTTTAGATTAATGAACCGACACTGGCTCATCGTTTGTCTCTAGCTCTCAGCAATCAGCCATAGGTAGGAAGCTAGCTAAGTGAGCTACATCGCTAATGTTAGGGTGCCTTTCACTTTTCCTGCCTGGATGCAGATGAACCAATCTAACCGCACATCTATAGGATTTCTTGCGATGGTCTCTCTAAAGAGAGCTGTGGTGAAAGTTAATATACTTTGTTATGATCAAGGTTTTCAAAAGCAGACATCGTTAGCTAGCCGGCACGCTACCACATTGATAAATTGTACTTCCACTTTAAATTATTTTATATGGGAACATCTCCACAACTATTATTCAAGGACAATAAACCAAGTTTTTACAATTCTTAGGATGATTTAACTTTCACCACGTTAAAAATTAAGTAACTCAAATAAGCCAAACACACATTCCTCTACTGAGCATTGGAGGCAAACCTTTTTTTATCCACTACACGGAAGTGATAATCTCATGGATATAAAAATGACTCAGTTAAGAAATCAGTCATAGTGCTTTTTACATTTCTTTTTAGTGTTCACACCAACACTACTAGCTTCTCTTTCTGCCACCAGTTTGGCTCCACCCACAGAAAACGTCATCTCTGTTAACAAACACAAAAAAAACAAAACACAAACACTAAAAGGGTCTATAGATTAAACTAAACAGGTCTCACCACATAACTAAATTTGCATCCTAGACGTTACAAATTTGAATTGCTATGTGCATTTATTTAAAGGTGCAATTCAAATAAGCAATTATATGAATATACAACTATTTTAATAATCCATTCATTTCAATTTTGATCTTTTTCTCTGGCAAGAATAGCAAATAGTGAGGATTATGATATTAAAATTTCATGGAAACTGTAATCGGTATTTTTATACAATTTTTTGACATGTCATTAACAAAACTACTAATCAATTCATCGAGAAAATAATCAGCAGATGAAATGATAATTGAATTTACTACTAGTTGCAACCCTGTTACAGTAACTGTAGTATTTATTTACTGCTGACTGTGTGGGCAGCCATATTTATTTGACATCATGGCATGAAAACAGTTTTAGGAAACTACCAGAAGACCTGACTCACAACTTTTACTGATCAACTGAACTTTGTATTTTATGTTTTTGGGTTTTTTTCCTTTACAGGTAGTAAAAAAACTAATTTTAACTGAATTTATTCTGTGTCTAGTTTCTGGAACACTTATTGAAGAAGTTATTGATAATTCAGTACTGCACTTTTTTTAAGTTCTTGTAAGAATGGGCTTTGTGTACTTTGTGAGTTTGTTTAGTGGTACTCTAAATAACGTAAAATGAGTCTGATGAGCAGGGCAGGAATTCATATTTTTACGTTTTTACAACAGTGATATGATGTAACTACAGTAGGAGCTCTCATTTCATTTGTCTGGCTTCTCATAAAATACCAGTAGATGTTAGTCTGTGTGATCTTGTGTAAAATAAACAGACAATTTGGCTGCTGTGTATGAAGGACCTTAAGAAAATATAATCAAGTGTTTTTTGGTTGTTTTTTTTGGGGTGGGGCTTATGATCTGGTATGTTGCACTGGCTAATACGGTTTCCTTTTATGTCAAATAAACAATTATTCAATTCTCTTCTGTCTTTTCTCTTTTATGTTTCTCACAATTATGCAAAAACACCTCAAATCTTTTAACCTTAACTGCGAGCACCAAAAAAAAGCCCTCAGGAAAATTTTTAATTATTTCTTTAATGTATTTTCTCTTAGAAAGCTGCACTTCACAGACAGAGTTATCTGTACTGGTTCATGTGTACAGGAACATAATGGATTGTCCACCTTGTCATATTGGGATGAATGGTTCACTGGTTTGGCTGACAGCAAAGGGCGGGGTGGCCTGGCTGCTTCGCATCCCAGCTGTCGCCCCCCTCCAGACACACTGAGCGAGGGTGGGGCCTCGTCATCCATGTGTCACAATAAGAGCCCCGACTTCCACTGAAGAAGACAGAGAAGAGGACGCAGGTGAAACGTGGTTGAGTAAAGTGTGGTTCAAAAATCAAGACAGCAGTGTTGTCATAATATTTTATCTGGTAACTGCAAATTTTACATTAGATCATAAAGTGCATATACATGGTAGGGCTGGGCTAATGGATGAAAATACTTGGCATTCACAGGTTGTCTGGCAGCACACCATATATATCTCGGTATTTTTATAAAAACAGACTGATCAAAATAAAGATGCAAAGACAGGGATTTTTTTCCCTATTTGAAAATACAGTTTGCAGCTGCAAAACAGTTACACCTCCAAGACACTAGTCGGGAGTGGGTTTCTGTGAAGTGCTATAAAGTTTAGTTAATTCAAATCACACATTTAACACACATTAAACACACATTAATGACAGACGTGCAATAGATGTCGTACAGAACAGATCAACATGATAAATTAACAGTAATCCGTATGACACAATGAGACAGAAAGAGAGAGACAGAGACAGAGAGAGAGAGAGAGAGAGAGAGAGAGATGCAGGACAGACGGTAATGACAGTAGCTTACAACAACATTGATGAAAGTAATAATATCATTAATATTACAGGATATTTTGGTACAATATGTTGAAAGTATATATTAATATTTGATATGTGACAATAATCATATGTGTATAATAACAGTAGAAGTATGACTAATGACTAATGATAACAGCAGCAGCAGGAGGCATCTAGCAGGACCACGGCAGCAGCACAACCACACACGTCACACTATCCAGGCACCGCTGCGATATGAGTTAACCTGAGAGACAGTGGAGCACATAGGCTCCAGAGAAGAGGCCGAGTTAGTGACATGCAGTATCGCCGAGTTAGTGACATGCAGTACGGCCGAGTTAGCAAGATGTAGTAACAGGACACGAGAGAGAGAGAGAATGAGAGAGAGAGAGAGAGAGAGAGAGATAGAGAGAGAGAGAGAGAGAGAAGGAGAGAAGGTGCCCGGTGTATTATAGGGGGTCCTCCGGCAGACTAGGCCTAAGTCAGCCTAACTAGGGGCTGGTACAGGGCAAGCCTGAGCCAGCCCTAACTATAAGCTTTATCAAAGAGGAAAGTCTTAAGTCTAGTCTTAAATGTGGAGACGGTGTCTGCCTCCCGGACCGTAACAGGAAGATGATTCCACAGGAGAGGAGCCTGATAGCTGAAGG